GATGCAAATTTGTGGTGACAAAGTGAAGATCCATTCTTGTTGTACTTTGAGTGAATCAGTGACGACTCTTCTTGCTCTTTGATCCTTCTGATTCATCCTCTTCTGCTGCTGCTTTGTCTCTCCTGGCTCTAAGAGCAGCATCCCTCACCTGACACAAACCAAAAAAATACCAAAAACCACAATTTTCTCAATATGATCCAAAAATCAATAAAAATGATTAAACTTTAATAATCAATGAAAAGTAAAAAGATTATTATTACCATTTGAGCAACTCTTTTAGCTGCTTCTTCTTTAACACTTTCTCTAGTCCCATCAGGTGGTGGCTGCAAAAGAAAAGAGTAAAATTTGTAATTTATTTATATATACATATTATCATAAAGCAAGATCCTCATACATTGTAATAGAGAGATATAACATTACTCACAGTAGAAGAAGAACTCGCAGTTGAGTTAGTTCCCGTACTAACTTGAACAAGAAGAGCCTGGTTCACATCAGGAGGTGCAACCTCGTTCACATCAGGAGGAGCAACCTGGTTCACACCGGGAGGTGCAACCTCGTTCACATCAGGAGTAGCAACCTCGATCACATCAGGAGGAGCAACCTCGTTCACATCAGGAGGTGCAACACGGTTCACACCAGGAGGTGCAACCCGGTTCACTTGAGGATGAAGAACACGATTAAGAATCCGGTGCAGTAGAGTAACCTGGCTAACTTGTTCACGAGGAGTAACTAGGTTCACATGAGGACGAACAATTCGGTTAACTTGAGGATGAACAACCCGGTTCACTTGAGGACGAGCAACCTGGTTCACTTGAGGATTAACAATCCGGTTCACTTGAGCAACCTGGTTAACTTGATCACGAGGATCAACTAGGTTCACATGAGCAGGAGCAACCCGGTTCTCTTGAGGAACGACAATCCGGTTAGCCTAAACCGAAAAGAAATCATTAGAATTTTGCTTACAATTTTTTCACTTAGAAAAATGATTAGAGAAACAGAGAAAGAGAGGTAGATTTTTACAAGTGGGTTTGTGATGTACTTGCAGAGAGAACATTTCACAACTCTTGCACCTTTTTGATGAATGACTGTTGCTTCACATCCACCACAATTAATAGTTGCAAGAGTGGCTGAAACAGAACAAGAAAAAAACAAAGCCTTAAGATCTATATTTGTAACCAAAAACATTTAAAAAAAAACTATGTTTTTGAACATTTTCGAGATTCATACTCGGCACAGGACGTGAGAAATGGCAACAAGGACATCTTACTGTCCTTCCTGGTGGTTCTCTGTAAGTCAAAAGAGCTCTGCAGCCTTCACAGTTAAACTGAGGAACAATCAAATTCCCTGTACAAGTAACAAAATCAAAGTCTTAATATATCGAAAAACATATGTTATATCGAAAACGAACGAAAAGAAACTCAGATTTGATATATATATACCGAGATGAGGATTGACGGGAAGACGACATGCTGGACAGTCCATTCTTCTCCCTTCTAATTCAAGGTCAGCGAAAACGATTACTCCGTTGTTTCCTTGGTTCTCCATAGCTCTGAAAACATAACGTAAAACCAAAAATATATGAGAGATAAAATATTACTAATTGAAATCTTGAAGGGGAAGATCAAAGGATTTTTTTAACCTTTAGTGAGGAGGAAGTTGATGAGAAGGGATGGAAGTGAAAGAGTCCTCGTCGGTCTTCTTAAATAGGACACGAACCGTCTGCAATTGTAAGTTTATTCGGTTTTTTGCAACTTTTCGTATAAAGAAAATTAATTTTAGATGCATTCACGTGAATGGATTTGTATCCATTTTGGATAAGTTCCCATGTATGTAGAAAGACTAGAATCAAAAGAGAGATCGCGTGGCTTCTAATCGCATCCAAACACGCGTTATACGCGCAAAACAAACGTTTAGTCAGCTTTCCAATTTAGTTTTTTGAGTTTTACTTATCAGATGTTTGACCAAATCAAGATACAAAATGTTCCAACGGTAAATATGATCATATGACATCCCTTTCAATGAAAAAAAAAGACTCGGGGAAATCAAACCGCGATTTTCAGACGTTTTTAGAGTCTTTTCAGAACATAGATTCTGTTCTAAAAACCTGAACAAAAAGCTTGGATCATATGTACAGAGGGAAAAATCCTATGGTTCTTTAAAAAAGAAGGCAAACCAAACTCCAAACTAAATCGAGAACGAAGTGTTTCAAAAGGAGAAAAAAAAAGAGAGAGTGCAGCTATCTAGTGTAGAGGCCATTGCAGTATTTATTATTATATCTTGCATCAGCCAAGCCATTGGGAGATTTCTTGGAGGTTCCATTGATGAAAACATTCTTTGGACCGTTACTAATCGGATGCTGATGAACAGAGGTTGGATTCATGACTGTGTCTAGCTCACGACATGATGCTGCAATGAGTCCTGCAAAAAGAAGAATAAAATGTGCAAAAGTTCGTTTAGAGAAAGATAAGGCTTGGATCTTTTTGATTGAATGACGAAGTGTGTTCGGCTACCTATGAAAAGAGGAGAAGCTTTCCCGGGTCTGGATTTAAACTCGGGATGGAATTGAGCACCGATGAAGAAAGGATGGTTTGGAAGTTCAACAATCTGCAAACATTAAACAGAGGATTAGTCATTTGAATTTACAGCAATGTATTTGGATTCGAGACAATAGTTTAAAGATTAAAACAGACCTCCATGCGTTTGCCAGTTTCATCTTTTGCAGCAAACGAGAGACCGGCCTTCTCTAAGCGTTCAACCATATCAGGATTCACCTGCAAGAATTGTGTATGTGTTAATCAAGAACTCCATTTTTTTTTTTCATTTTAACTGGTGGATGTTCAAGAATTTGTATACAAATCTTAATACCTCGTATCTATGGCGATGCCTCTCATCGACAAACTTTTTGTTCCCGTATCTGTAAGAAACATGTAGAAAGAATCATGCTAAGTAATCTGTACCATTCATATGTAGAACTATAGTTAAAATAATAAAGATCAATGGTTCTTACAGTTTTGCAGATTTACTGTCTTTGACATTGAAGAAACTTCTTCTTGATCCTAAGCGCATAGTACCTCCCATATGAGTTCTTGAACCCTAAACCCATAAGCAGAATGAATCAGGAAGCAAGTAACGAAGCTACATTTCAAGTAAAGAGAATGAGAATGTAAGAACCTCAGGCATGAATATGATGCATGGATGTTTGGTATCTGGTTTGAATTCGGTGCTGTTTGCGTCCTGCAAGCTAAGAACTGATCTTGCAAACTCAACGACAGCGATCTGCATCCCGAGACAAATACCGAGGAAAGGGACTTTGTTTTCACGCGCGAATTTTGCTGCAAGAATCTTCCCTTCCACTCCTCTATCACCAAAACCTCCAGGGACAAGAACTCCATCTACACCCTGAAGAAGATTCTAATCCAGATGAGCGAAAACACAAGGCTTCCTGAGTATTAAATTCGTAAAATAGAAAGCATTTCAAACCTTTAGCAACTTCCACGCAGCTTTATACGCATCTGGATTCTGATTAAACAAAGGAAAACATGGATTTAGTTTAAAAATTTTGAACAGGTAAAAGACATACATGTGTAATTATCGAATTCACGGACCTCTTTCTCAGTTTCGTTCTCGAGATCACAAGCTGGAACCCAATCCACTACGAGCTTTTTGCGACAAGCCACAGAAGCATGTAACAGAGCCTAAACAAGTTATCCAAATGTGAGAACCAAGGTAAGGAAATCTTATCCAGACACTATCCAATGAGAGGTGATGCATAAGTTCTTACCTTCAAAACAGAGAGATAGGCATCGGAGAGGCCTGTATATTTCCCCACAACAGCGATTCTCACCTGTAAAACGATTAGGTACGTTAAGAAATGACGTAAAGGCTATGGTTTATAAGGAGTAACTCAAAGCTGAGACTCACCGGCACATGTAAATTGTCGCATAATTCGGCTCTGGAAGTCCATTCTCCTAGAGAAGGTTCTTTAACAATACTGTTTCAGAAACAACAAAGATCACTTCCAATCCATTTAACTCAAGAATC